TGATGGAAACCCCACAATGACTGAAACCTCTCCCAAACAAGTCGCCGATAATACCCTCCCTGCAAAACCCCATCATTTCTCTTTACTCCTTACCCTCCTGGGCTTCATAACACATTGCCTCCTCTTCCAGTTCATCTCCCCTGTGTCTCTGCAAACTATCATCTGCCCTTTAAACTTGGGGATTTCTGTCTCCACCTATCTGTCATTCTCTACTTTCACCCTGGGTGACCTAATTTGCTAGAAAGGTTTCAAAAGCGTCTCTGCTGACAACACCCCCATTGCTAACAAAGCCCTGGCATTTCTCCTAAGCTCTGCGCACCTGCACACGGTGGCGCTGAATATAGGGGTTACTAGCACGATCAAAGCTGAACTCGTCTTTCTCCTTCCCCGCTACCTCCTGTTCCTCTTCTGGCAACCTAAGCCAGGGGCCTAATCACCAAGAAGAGACTTTTCTTTTGTGTTCAAACTGCCCACATCATGATTCAATCCATTGCTGGTCTCCAAAGTCCAACATCTCCTGTAAACACCCTTGTGTGTTTCTAAAAAATAAGTCAAATCAACTTGTTTCACTGCATTTCTGAAGACCCTCCAGTGGCTTCGTGTGGTCCATAAAAATCAGTACAAGCAACTTGCCGTGCTAGTCAAGGCCGCGCGCCCTACCAGACATCTCCAGCCTCACCCTCTTGCTGTCCTCCCACGCACCCTGCCGCAGGGGACAGCCCCGGGATGCCTGATGACTTCACCTGTACCCACACAGGCCAGGAGCGAAGGCTGAACCACAGCCAATTTGAATGGTCGCACAATGTCTCGTGCTCCTGCCGGAACCATGGGCACGGGGGTGCTGTGAGCAGCTGCCAAGGTCCATTTCCCACCTGCCTCCCTAGGTCCTAAGACAGTTTCTCATCTCCTTCCGGGATCTGATGAGGAACGAGGCTTTCCATCCTCCCCTCTTAGGGTGCAGCCACAGTCAGGGAAACCACCGAGCAGCAGCTTTGAACTGGCTCCGCAGCAACAGAACGTCCCCTCATTTGTGATGCAGCCAACTGCCCGCTTTTGTTTTGGTATCGCCTGCACAAGGGCCACCTTTTCCTACTCGTTCTTTGACTGTCCCTGTAAGTAATACGCTGCCTGAATCGATAAAGGGCTCGTTGCTTATTTACCAACAGGTCTGGCAGACCCAGCCTGGCCTTGCACTGGACACCTGTGCTCTGAACTCAGATATTCGCTACCTTTCCACCCCCATGTGATTCATAACTCGACTTTAAACTTAATGTGCATTTCAAAAAATAAACATAAGGTGAGATAAAATAAAATTAAGCTTCTAAATCTGGGTCAGTGCAAATGAGGATAGGAAAAATTAAATAGAGCCAGACATGAGGTCAGTACTAGTGTATAAAATTAGAGTACTATAATTGTAGAAGTGCATTAAGTCCTTTAGGAATAAGGCAAATCCATACACTTACTATTTATGGCCTGCGAATTTGGCTCTCACTTTCCTCACAGAAAATTCAGAACTATTAATGAATGCTTTGTCCCAAGAGCAAACCTTTAATGCATAGGTGATTAAAAATAAATTTAGAGGAATGTAAATGACATCATGCTGAGTCCTATTAAGATTAAACACCCTTTTCTTTAAATGGAAGACATTGTTGCATAAATGAGATTATAAGGACTCCTTAAAATAAAGTTTCCTAAAATGAAAACCATTTCAGGAAGTAGCTGAAACATCGAAAAGCTGAGACTTTAAGCACAAGACCCAAAGATTATGTCACGATCGCCTCAGTTGGCCCCGCAGACCACCACCGGTGGTTTTGTTTCTCACAACTAACCCACCTTTCTCGATCTGCCCTGTGCTGCCTGGCCAAGCCCCAGCCAGACCCCGCGGCGCCCTCAGCCCGGCCGGACCCTTTTTCACTCACAAAAGAAAACCCTGGAAGGGCTCACTCTTCAGCCAACCACCCAGTCAGCCCAGAGCTAAAAGCCATGGCCATCTCTCCTGGAGTCTCTGCCTTCCTGTGCCACCAGCATACAGGGATATTTGGGCGTTTTGATACAAGGTTGAATTTGGTGAGCAAGGAAAAGTCCATTTGCTATCTCCATTCTCTGAGGGACTTTCAATGTGTTACGTGACATATGCGTTAGAAGCTCGGTGTCCTCCTAATCATGAATTGTTATAAATCTTTCCTATAAGGTAAATGCTACTTGATGATTTAAAAAAAATTTTTTTTTGCCAACTGTTTAGATTGCTGTTTTGCTTGGATCCTAGCAACAGTTCTTTTTTTTTTTACATTAATAGCACCTCTTTTAATAAGAAATGCCCCCAAGCAACTAGATTTCACAAAGGCAAAGGTAGGAAAATTATGCTTTAACTATCATAAGGCACTTACAGCAAAAATTTATGAAAATCCTTTTTTGTATACAGGGTGCGGCAAAAGTAGGTTCACAGTTGTGAATACGTGAAACAGTTTATTCTTGTATTATTTATTATTGTATTATTTTTCCATATGAAAAGTAAATCTACTTTTGCCCCACCCTGTGGTGTAAACTTTGTTAGTCATTTTATCTTAAATATTACATGTAAGCTCCTTGGAAATGTCATTGCATTTTTTTTTCTAATATAGTTTCAAATGTCTTTTTATCAACACATAGCCTTAATCATCAGCAAACACTTACTGACCATATCTACTTTATACCAATGAGTTAGGCAAATAATCATTTAAACATAAACTATGTTTTCCAAATACAAACTCTCAGAGTGGTTCACCACTCCTCTCCAATACAAAACAAAACACCAATTAACATAGGCTGATTCCCATCTACAATGTCTTGGTATCTTAATATGACATTTTAAAAATCACAAAAATTTTGATTTTTTGAACATTATGAAAACAAGCTTTTGGCAATTACTTAATCTTCATTCTTATTTGAGACCACTGAATAAACTAGTACTCAGTAAACCTACGTAATTTTTAACTAAAAATTTTTGTTTTTATTCCCTGTCATTTTCATGTTACTCTCCTGATAACATGCTCCAAACTCTCCCTGCATCAAAGTCTTTCATTAACAAACACCTGTCTACCTTAAAACTAGTCTCATTCATAGAAAATAGGAATTTTAAAATTCTGTTTTTAGTTTGTTGATAAACTTCTTACCACTTTGACCATACACTATAAAACTAATCAAAATTATATTAGTTCTTTGTCCTCTTCTGGACACTATACACATCCTCTGTTCATTCATTATATGTCTTCTGGGCACTGGCCTCTACAAAGAACCAGCCAAAGCCTAGTTACTTGATAAAAAGATGATTCTGACTCGATTTTCTACCTTTAAGTTATTCAAAGTCTCAAGGGAAAAAAAATATTTCATACAATATGGTAAATGCTATAAAAGACATGTGAAGTACTTTGGTAAATGGTTTTGAATTGGAATTCAGTGAGCACGTAAACTTCAGGCCTTTTTATAATGAAATACTTTTGTTTTGAAATAAACAGATTTCTTATGACAACCAAAGGAACTAAAAGGACACTGATAGTGACCTGGATTACATAGTGTTTTTTTTAATGAGTTGTTAGACATTTTTCCTCTTTAAAATGAACACTGAACAAATTTCTTGTTAATAGTATCTTTGTTAACAGAAAAATATAACTAAATAGAGTAGTACATTAAAACCAAGTACTGGAGTTTATTTGACATTTGATATTTTTACAGAATAACAAACCCTACTAACTTGGATCTTTAAAAATATTTTTAGCCCAGAGTCTTGAAGTTAACAAAGCACTGTGGCAGCCATTAGTTTTCATACTTGTTCTTTACAAATACTATGTGTGGTAAGTGGCATCTCCAATTTACAGCTGAAGAAATCTGTGTTGATGCAATTTATTCATTCAGATGTTTACTGTGTGCACACTGACACAAGGGATAGAATGCTAGTTTGTCCAGGAAGTCCTAGATGGAACATTGGTCTTCAGCCTCTGAATCTATTCTGCCCACCACATTATAACCCTCTGTTAAATATATAAATCATGTTATTAAAATAGGACAAGTCATGTGTCCCAAAAAACTAAAATAAAAAATTATATATATATATACATATATATATATATATATATATATATATATATAGTAAAGATAGTCTATAAAGTCACCATTAATCTTTTCTAGGTAGACTTTATAATGTTGGTGTTTTATCTCATTTCTCAATGTTAGAATACGGGTAAATTTTAATTTGGGTATAATACATAGAAAATGGTTCAACTTTATGCCAGAATATGGGATTCTTTTGGTATTTAGAAAGTTGGAAACTTTCTAAAATTAATGGTTTTATAATACTGTATTCACAAAAAATGTATTGAGTCTGTTGATATTAAAAACCTTTGCAAGGACATTACTATCATGCCTATTATTTTCAAAAAAAATGTACATGAACATTTCTATGGAAGTCCTTCTCCTAACTTAACCCCTTGAGATACTTATATAGAAGTTCCCCCTAAATTGAAGCAAGCTGTTAATAAAATAAAGATACATAAAGCCTGAAAGAATTATCAATATCATTTTTGTTGCTCAGCTTGTATTTAAATATCCATTATAGTTTATTTGCACTGTTTTAAATACTGGTTATGTAATCTAAACCAGATATATGAAGAGCTGTAAAAATTCTGCCTTCCTGACAATACTTTGAGGTTAATGAAAGGATTTATTTGTAGATATGATTATCAAAGCATTATTTTAATTAAAAAAGGTGACTTAAAAAAAAAAAAGAAGAAGAAGCTCGGTGTCCTAAACGTGAAGCCTGAAGAACTGAAACCCAAAGTCTTATATATGGTACCAGGCTTGGAAACCGCTAAACCTTTGTATGTATATAAATATGTAAGCTACTACTGTTGGTCCTGTTTGAACCCTGTTAATCATAAGGGCTTCTGGCAGATTGGGAAAGTGTTGTGAAAAATTCCTCTTGCATTATAGCAGTTGTGTTCTAACATCGTCCCTTTTTGCCATAGGCAACCCACCTGCTACTGGGACTGGAACTTTGCTGATAACCCTGGAGGACGTGAACGACAACGCCCCCTTCATTTACCCTACAGTGGCCGAAGTCTGCGATGATGCCAAAAATCTCAGTGTAGTCATTTTGGGAGCATCGGATAAGGATCTTCACCCAAATACAGATCCTTTCAAATTTGAAATCCATAAACAAGCTGTTCCTGATAAAGTCTGGAAGATCTCCAAGATCAACAGTAAGTCCAGTTGGAGATTCTATAGTTACTCTGTGGCTTTGAGCCTAATGTCACTGGCTTGGTTTCTTTCTCCAAACTGTTTCTGCTCTCCTACTCTCTTGTGTCTCAAATGGCTTATTTCAAGTTATTTATGCACTATATATACTGATAATTTTCCCGCCAGCAAATGGATACAATTTGTAAATACAGGGTCTGGCACAAATAATGCCCCTTTTTTTAATTACAAAATCGTAAGTATGTAATTCTGTAATATAACAATATCACACTCAAGCACACCATATGACATTTTAGGTGAAATGTTCAAATTAAAACTATAAATTATTACACCCATATTATTACCGTACCAACTGCACTCAAGTAGGCGTTACTTCTGTCAGACCCTGTATATTAACTATCAGTTCCTTATAATGCAAACATGAAAGTTTTCTCTATTGCTTCTTCTCCTATCTTTTCTATACTGTATACAGCATACTATCTACCCTGTACTGTATACTTCATAGTGTACATATTATGCACCCTACACTGTACATTCTATACAGTACACTCTATACTGTACACATTACTGCACACTGTATACTACCCACCCTATACTGTACACTCTGTACTGTACACTATACTCTCTACACTCTACACAGTGAATCATATAACATACACCTTATACTGTATACTCTATACTGCATATCATGTACTATACACCTTATGCTGTATACTCTATACTGTCCACCCTATACAGTACATCCTGTACTGTACAACTCTATTCAGTACACCCACCCAGTCTGCAGCCTTCAAAAGCCAGGGTCTCAGCTTCTCTCTAAGCACGCCTTGGCTCTGCTGTCTCTCCTCTCTCAAATAGCTGTGTTTACGCTAAACTTCAGGAACACTTCGGAGAGATTTCCCATGGTGCACTTGCTTTTATAAAAGACTTAGGATAAGAGAAGCACCAGTCCAGGAATCTTTAGGAAGGTTAACCTCTACTCCTCCAGCTTCCATTTCATGCTGTAGACCTCCTCAGCATTGACTTAGTCTTTACAATGACCTTGGCTTTTCTTTCAAATCCTTGGCTTTTACTTTCAACGTGAATATCTTCTTTCATCTATCCTGTCCCTCATTTATGAAACTTGTAAGCAATGTACCTTCCAACCAATCTTTCCATGTGGGCAGGTGGAATTCCAAACTTGGCCCAACATTTATCATCTGCCTTATTAAGACTAAAACACCAGTGTGCTGAATTATGAAGTATCCCTCTCTCCACGATAGCTTGCCCACTTTACACTACACTGCTAGGTTCACCTTGCCCTGCCTTGAAATAAAACCAAAAACCAGAACTCACACATTGAGACATACATTCCGTCATCGATAATGAACTTCTGCCATTGACCTAGTCAAATCTCCTCTTCTTACATCAGTGGAAGAATGTTTGAGAGAGATGGGGAATTACCCATTTCATTGGGTTTTGAAAATGTATTGCACAATTGTGCATAAAATTTTCTATTACAAACCTCACATGTATTGTTATGGCCTTATCTCACTTCTCATTTTATTAGTGCCTTTCTCTTGTTATTGATTCTATTTGCCTGTTTGTCTATTTTATTGCTTTTTAAAAAATGAATTTTGTTACACCGATTATTTTTAACTAAAACAGCCTTCTCTTGTTTGAGGGGTTACTGTTCTGTTTGCTAGTTTTTGTGGTATGGCTGATTTGAATAATCATCACCAGTTCTTTCAAACTGAAACTCTTTTTTTTGTCCTCACCTGAGGACATGCTCACTGATTTTAGAGAGAGGGGAAGGGAGGGAGAGAGAGTGGGAGAGAAACATCGATGTCATGTCAAAGAAAAACATCGACAGTTGCCTCCCATATGCGCCCTGACCAGGGATGGAACCCACAACCTGTCGGTATACAGGACAACACTCCAACCGAGCCACACAGGCCAGGGCTCCAGCCGGAACTTTCTTATTCAAGAGTTTCTCCCCTGCTTGAGGGAGATTGAAGAATGTTCCGTGAGGTAATGCACCATTTCCCCGGGGTAATTCTCTACTTTGCTTATATCCGCTACTGCCCCCTCGCCTTCTGATTAGGAGGATTCATCTGTTTTTTTCATGTCATCACACTCTGCTTTCCCCTGGTTTTATTGAATCGACACGATGCCTTCTAAATTCTTTTTCTTGTCCCCAAATTACTTTTCCAAATACTTAGTACTGTCTACACCCAGAAAGAGGCAGCTTAGAACAAGCAAACAAACAAAAATCCCTAGTCCTCTGAGTGATGGAAAAGAGAACAGCCTGCCCTGGCGGGGAGCTCCGTTGGTTAGAGGTTGTCCCGATACACCACAGGGGTGGGATTGATCCCGGACAGGGCACATACAGGAAGAACCAATAAATAAATAAATAAGTGGAACAAGAAATCTCTCCCCCCCCTGCACCCCACTCTCTCCCTCTCTCTCTCTCTCTAATCAATAAATTAAAGAGAGAAAATAGCCTGAGGCTAAAAAGAGTGGCCAGGTAAAGTGGTCACTTCTGAGTGCTGCCCAGAGGCAGATATCCCCAACAAACGTGGGTATAAAGACCCAGTCTCTATGCTGTGGATTGTGCTGTGGCTTCCCGCCCAAATCTAGGGCTGTGGGCTGAGGACCAATAAAGACTATAGAATCCATCCCTGTGACAACACACAGGGTCCTGCCCACGTAGAAAGTGAGCGGAATCCTTTTTTTGGTCCAAGAATTTATTTTGATTATTTGAATTTGGAGTCTTATATAAAAATGCTCTGATAATTTTTTCACTTTTTTCCAGCTTTGTTGATGTATAATTGACAAATAAAAATTGTATATATTTAAGATGTACAATGTGATCATTTGAGAGTGGATTTTTACATTATTTTTTTCTAGATATTGAATATGATCTTTGTGAAGATGGCTTTATTGGCATAATAAATTTGCAGGGAGAGGTTCTTGGTAGTCAGTCATTTTCACAAAAGCGAATCCCTTTGAAACTGATTAAGGAACACTGAACCACAGCCCTCCTGGGAGACGGGGACGTCCTACCTGGGCTGTCCCGCATGGTAGCCACCAGCCACATGCGATCTCCAGATACCTGAAATATGGCCGGTGCAATTGAACTGAATTTATATTTTTATTTGATGTTATGAATCTAAATTTAAATGCTCCCGTGGCTATAATCAAAATGCAATGGCTGTTGCATGTGCTCTCACTCTTTCATTTGGAAAGGTCTAACCCCGTCTCATGAAGGTCCCCCTTGTCTTCACAGACACACACGCCCTGGTAAGCCTTCTTCAAAATCTGAACAAAGCAAACTACCAGCTGCCCATCATGGTGACAGATTCAGGGAAACCACCCATGACGAACATCACAGACCTCAGGGTACATGTGTGTTCCTGCAAGAATTCCAAAGTCGACTGCAACGCAGCGGGCGCCCTGCACTTCAGCCTGACCTCAGTCCTGCTCATCTCTCTCTTCCATTTAGCTTGTAAGTCAGCCTAACTCCAGTGTGTGCATAAGTACGAAAACTAACCAAAGCCTTTTGTCCCCCAAAAATCTGTCGCAGAGGAAACATTTCTTTTTCATTTATGTCTGTATAATAGATGGTGTTACATATAAGAGTGCTCCAATTAATCTTGAAAGGCATCTTAATATCCCCCTGGCAACCTGAGGAGTTGCGCCCAGGCACGCTTTGCTGTTCTAAGACCAGGTGACAGGAAGACTTCCTGCGCATGCCACTGAACGTGTGCTAACGCAGATGTGCCCAGATTCGTTCACCGGTCTGCCAGGGATCCACCTCTCTCCACATTGTGCAGAATAATCATTCTCAAGGTTAAAGGAGATACTATACCTTTTTAAGAACATTCATGATAATTCATGTATGGCAGTTGGGCCATAGGGAAAGAGATAAATGTATAATCCGCACATTTTTTTCACTGACTGGTAGTAGCGGCTATAATATAATGAAGCATTATTTTAAACAAATGAACTATTATGCCTAGTAATATAGATGTAAACATAAAACAAATAGATATGTGTATCAGATATTTCCTATTTATGGAATACTAGTCCAATTTTAACTTTAGCAATTATTTACATACAGTGCCATTCAAAAAGCCTTCTGGCCCTTCGTATTTAAGTTTTGACAAAGTTATTGATGTAATTGTGAATTAGGAAGTCAAGAAATGACGATTAGAAAAAAATAACAGAAGTTATTATATCTTGGTGACAATGGTAAGTAGGGTCCACAAGAAATCACTCATTCCGACATCGGAAATTTACTGCATGTAAAGCTCCGTGCTGGGCCAGTGTCCTGTGGGTAGAACTAAGGAGGGAAAGCCCTTAGAATGAGAAGGGTCTCATTCAAGGGGTGGGAGGAAGGAAGGAAGGGAGGAAGGAAGGAAGGGAGGGAGGGAGGGAGGGAGAGAGGGAGGAAAGGATGGAGGGAATACATATTCCCCTGTCTCATTCATTTTTCCTTCTTTCTCCTTCCTTCCTTTTACTTCAAGAAATAAAATGTTACAGGTAAAGGTGTTCCTCCCCTCAGTTTTACTTCCTATTCTCTCTCCCCAGAGACAACAGCTTTTATGAGTTAGAGTGTGTCCTAACATTGTTTTATACTTTTACTGCACACACACACCATGTATAGTTCTAGTCTGTGCAGACAAGAAAACTTCATGTACTTTGTATTATGTGAGCATGAAGTTCTGCATCTTGCTTTTCTTCCCCTCCCTGCTACTTTTCCAAGATTCATCTAGGTTGTTCTAGGTCAAGGGTCAACAGACTTTTTTTCCATAAAGGTCCAGGCAGCAAATATTTAGGGTTCTGTGGGCCAGATAAGGTCTCCATCACATGTTCTTTTTTTTTTCTTGCTTTATTCTTTTGCTCTTTATCACTCTTTAAAATGTAAAAACCATTCTTAGCTTGAGAGCCATACACACCGTGGCCCACCAGCCACAATTTACCCCCGTGCTAGTTCATTCATTTTAACTGCTAGAGAATATCCCATCCCATGAACGTGGCACAGTGTATATTCTTCTATCAACAGATGCATCACAGTTATTTACAATGTTCTGCTATGACCAACTCTATTCCAGTAACTTCTGGAATCTGTCTTCCACTAGCTTCTGAAGTGAAAACTGCAAGCCCAGTACTGCGTCCTAGAAGTTGGAATCCACATATAGCAGAGTCTGGATAAAGAAATAAACATTCATGTGCCCGTGTGTGCATGCTTGTACATGTGTGTTGTGTGTGCACATGTATCACATGTGTGTGCCGCTGTGTGCACAATTATATGTGTACATAAAGAGAGAAGATCATGAGTAACCACTCACACATCACTGTCTAACATGAAATCCAGATTCTCGATGCCAGCCCTTTGAAGAACCAAGGCACTGCAGGACACAGCTCACTCACTCACTTATCACTACTTAGACTGCAGTGTGTTTTTTAAATGGAGACTTTCTCCCTCTATTTGTTGAAACACAGGTTCCCAGCCCCCTCCAACCTGTGGAACCAACATTCCAAGTGACAGTAGCCTCCAGCACATAGACCCAGTGTTTCTATATTTTTACACAGTATTTTTATAATAATACACACGTCTGCTATGACCAAATTATGTATTAAATATTATTAAGACAATCTATTTGTTTTAAAACAAAAGGAATATAAATAGACATGACAGTATTTTCTTACAAACAGGGGGTTTCCTTGCGCCCCCTACTTTGGAGACCCCTGGTCTGTAGGTATCAATAACAAATGAGCAGTTTCCCAAAGGCTGTCTACGTTACCTCTCTCTGCTGAGCTCTTAGATCACAGCTAATCCAAGGCGGAGTTGCCTAGTAACTCCTAAAGCCCTCATGCTCACTTTATACTCAAAATAGCATCATTGAGAAAAGACTGGTGCACGTACAACACTCATATATTTGAGAGATCATATGTGTTTTTTTGTTCTCACCTAAATGGAGAGCCACCCTGTGGAGCAGCGCTCGGTTACCCCGCTGTAGGTAAGGGTGCCTGTAGGGAAAGCCAAGGTCATCCTCAGAAAGGAGCTCTGAGGCTTGCTGCACAGATAGAAAGGCACTCGTTTGACCTTTCAGTGTTTGGCACCACAAGGCATGTATTTCTATCTTAAAAAAACAGCCTAAGAACAGGTGTTATCACTCACCTGTTTGACTTCAAAAAGAACCTCAGTCTGGCTCTATACAAAAGGCATAAGATTATTTAATTTTGTCCATTTGAACATTAGAGACACCTGCCAAATATACTTCTTGTTTTATTATATACCTAGTCCAAGATGTTCTTCCTAACCAAAAAGGCATGGACCTAATAAGACCCAAGAGACTGGGTCAGAGCCAGCGTGAATAAGTAATGGGGTGGGGGGGACCTATGGCCCACACACGCTCCCAGGAGAACAGAAGCCGGTGGCCAGCGGCCTTCCCGCCTGTGCCACCGTCAACATCACACTGACAAGAGGATACGCGGAAATGGGCCTCAACCATTAAACAAGGTGGGGCAAGGGGGTCAAAAATCACTGAAACTCAACTATGAAGTGCAAGGGTAAGACATCTTTCCAGCACAGCAATAGTCCTTGAAAGAATTTTGGGATCTGGTAGAATCTGTTTGGTGTTTCTTTAAAGCAGGAGATGGCAAACTATGGCCCGAGGGCCAGGTCTGGCCCACTTCCTGTTTTTGTACATAAAGTTTTATTTGAACATGGCCATGACCGTTTATTTTCATATTGTCTATGGCTGCTTTCTGCTACAGTGGCAGAGTCGAATTGTTGTCACAGAGACCATATGACCCACAAATCCATAAATATTTGGCCCTTTACAGAAAAGGTGTGTCAATATCTTTAAAGTAGTGTTCATTAAATTTCATGGATCACATCATACAACATGGGGAGAAAAAAAAGAACTTTCTCCTCCCCTCAAATAACATTCAGATCCAGGTAAACTAGTATTAACCAAACACCCTGATGTTCTGTGGCTTTTCTCTCTATTTTCTTCATCAGCCTGGTGATTTCATCCCACTTTATAGATGAGAAAACTCAGAGAGGTCCCAAGGTCCCATGTGAGGAAGCAGTGAAGCCAGCATTCACCATTAGACCGCCTCCCTGATGCAAAAAGATAATAAAAACATTCCAGTTTCTTATGACACCATAGAGGGCTTTATTGCAACTCTGTTCAAGAATTGAACCGAGAGACCTGCACTTCCCTCTTTGACATCTAAAAATAAAGAATAAAACTAGTGACATTGAAAGTAATAAAAAATGTAAATGAAATTATCTTTACTGCCAATTTTGTTGTTTAAATTCCACATTGATGGCCTTGAGGGGATGCATAATTCTCCCCCCCGACACCCCCCCAAGATCCTAGGCAAGCGATGTCTCCATCAGGCTGTGTCTTTGGGTTTGTGGGAGGCTCTATGAGGTGTGATGTGGTCAAGGTCAAGGAAGAATATTGTCCTAAAGCCTTTTTATACATTATCTTAGGCTTAATTAATTAACAGTGGCAAGAATATAAAAGGACAGATTCGATGAACCATATAAACGAGAACCAAAATTAAATGTCTGTACATTGGGAGGAGGGGGCATTGAACGGTAACCTGAATCACAAGAAAGAAGTTTGAGGAGGTGATTAAGATGAACAAAAAACATCCTCGTGTGTGTGTGTGTGTGTGTGTGTGTGTGTGTGTGTGTGTGTGTTTAAACCTAGTGCCTTTTACTCCAGTATTATTTGCATTCCATAAAATTCACCCATTTTAAGTTGTAAACTTTGATGAGTTTTGGTAACTCTGCACAATTGTTCACATCACAGTCAAAAAAGTCTCCTTGCACCCCTTTGTTATTGATCTCCTCCCCCAATCCAGACCCTCATTGATCTGTCTTCTTTAATTATAGTCTTGTCTTTTCTGGAATTTTCTATAAGTGGCACCATACAATCCATGTTGTTGAGCGTATCATTGTCTTGTTTTTCTTTATTGTGAAATGTGTTATGAGCAGAGACAGGGTGGGGAGAAGCACCAAACCCAGGTAGAGCAGGCGGTCCCCTGTCTGGGGGTGGCCCCAACTCGTGCTTTGCAGAGGCGCTGTGGTCCCTTAAAGAGGCTCAACTCCATGGACTTTGTATGTTCCATGAGCATGTGGAGCTAAGAGCTCTACATAAATTAAATAGATGATCTCATGCAATCAACATAACAGTTCTTGAAAGTAGAATCATTTATGTTATATTCTAAAACTGACTTAAAACAGAGATTGGCGACTTTCTAATTTAGTGGGTGTTACTCAACCAAAAGTTTTTTGTTTTTCTCAATGAACAACGTTATTATTTTAAGTTCTTGGTACCTCAATGGAAAGAATTTTTGAATAAACTTAGTGGTGCCGTTTAATATGTTCTTTTTATATCTTTCTTCAAATGTGAGCAAATCTTCAGGATATAATTTACTGCAGCCACGTAACCGAAGAGTGTAAGACAATGGTAGCAAAGGCAATGAAACCTTCGAGTGAAATGAAGGGGTTACATGAGTTCAGAAGACTCCTCACTGCAAAGGAATTCACTTGTCCAGCAATAGAAAGATCCCTAGCATAGCATATAACAACCAAAAATTGTACCTAAATTAACTTGTTAATTTCCATGGCCCTTTCTGTTAAAACAGATTTAATCCTTAACCTTCTTAATATCACCTTGTTTGTACTTGAGTCACATTACAAAGACCTTGTATACAATTTAGAGATTCTGCTTTAAATTTTCCAAACAGATAAACGACAGATTCAACCTCTAAAATCAAGAGAATGCAGAGTAGGTGGGTGAGTTTTAGGTACTGATCTTCCCCTCAATAGGTTTTAAATGAAAAGGCCCAAGCTCTGCAGAGTAACCCATTATAGTTCCAGCAATCAGTTCATTCCAGAATGAGCTGCATTTACATTACATTGTAGGTTGACCTTTCCACATTTTTATTTCTTTGATATTAACAAAAGATTTGGTGGTACCAGTTCACTGTACAAATTCAAGATATAATAATCATTAAGCAAAAATGTCAGAGACTGAGCTATCTCCTCTCGTACTACCAGGCAGACTGAAGACCCCGGACGAGAGTGTAACCTAGAGGATAACTCTAACTTTGGCAGCTTCAGTAAACTTTGATAAAACAGTTCAGGCCGCGAGGATGCTGATGTGGCCATGAGCCAAATACAGGCAGCTCGGGAAGCTGGAAAAGGCAAGGAAGTGGCTATTTCCCCAAAAGCGTCCAAAAGGAACACAGCTCTGCCAACACCTTGATTTTAGCCCCATAAGACCCATTTTGGACTTGTGGCATCCAGAACTGTAAGAGAATAAATTTGAACTGTTTAAGCTGCTAAGTTTGTGGCCATTTGTTACAGCAGCCTGAGGAAACTAATACACCAGTTCTGAAGAATCACCAATAGGTTTCTTGCTCTTTTCCATGACTATAAAAAATATCTGGGACAATCATCAATCTCTCTCATCTACAAAGTCAGCTTGCTCATAAAATAGCCACACTCTGGGCTCGTGTGCAAGCGATGGGGCTCAATGGTAGCAGAGGAAATAGCCACTGGTGCTCTGAGATGATTGGCATCGAGCATTTTTGGAGAAGTCCAGCTTTTTAAGATATAAACCATTCTCTCGTCAAATATTATACTTAAGAATTTTTTTTCCAAGGTCGTACGATGTTTAGAAATGCATTTATTACAGCCTATCGGTCATGTGTCTAGTGTTCAGCTACACTGTTTTCAATCTAGTTGCAATATTCCTTGACTTAAACTCTGCATCTTTGCCATTCAGGTCTGTGAGAACTCCTGACATCTGAAGCTTGACTACCAAGTTTCCATAGCAACAGGAAAAAGAAAAAAATCCAAATCTGAAGATTGCCGTTTACAGCTCTCGAACTTCACAACTAGGCCTCAATTGCTCCAGATTTTCACTTTCTTTGCAATTTCACTTAGTCTGTACTTCACCATTTTGACAGCATCTTCCTTTCTCCTTTAATTAGTGGAATCCTCTGAATTTCCCCTGAATGTTTAAAGATCATGGCATATAACTTGACCTTCTGGGAGCAGGAACAATGACTACTTTTTCTGACGTGTTGCCATGTTGCTAGTCAGCACTCCCCCATCCAGCATTGTCTGTGGGTTAGTATTTGTATATGTATGAGTATCTGTATGTGTATATACCCAGTATGTATAGAGAGAGACTAGACAGGAGAAGCCTAGTTTTGATGTGTCACTCTTCCTTGGGAGGCTAAACAAGAAGGGACAGAGCCGTGGCAGCTGACTCGCCCAGGGCCCCAGCGGCAAGCACAGACCGCAGACCGGATGCTTCTCCAACACCCCATTCAGTCTGGACGCTGCCACGACTGTCAGGCAGCAGCGCAGAGAGGGAGGGCAGAGAGCAAGGTCCTTTCTCTTTAGTCTGAGGACTATACCCAGTTTCACTGCCACCATATGCCGTGATCCGGAGCGAAAGTGGTGAGGAGCAGAGGGGGAAATTTTACCATCAAATGCTGAGAAAAGGGCTGCAATATTCTCTCATGGGCATCTGTCTGCATTTGTATGTGTCCAAAGTCCGCAGCCCTGCTGTGGATTTAGTTCCCATGGGGACGTGGATCATGGTAGAGACTCTCTCCCTCCTATTTACAATAACAAGTGTCATCACGGAGGTCACACGTGCATATGAAGAGGTTGACAGGTACAGTGTGTATACATATATATGCCCACATGTATAGACATACACTTAGGCACATACATACCGTTTGTTTCATATACATGCATAAAATAGAGTAAATACAGGTAGTACCCTTTTGTGTGAATCGACTACAGTTGTTTGCAAACCTAAAAATAAAAGGTGTTCATTATGTATAAAAAGTAATTGATTTTTATTCTGTGAGCATGTCAAAGTAAGAGGAAAGTTAGTGCTTGTACTAAGATTATCTTCTTGTTGATAAACTAAATGAACCATCAAAGCTCACACCAAATTTTTCTATCAGATTAAACTAGTGACAGCCTGTGGCTTTCTTTAGAGCTCGCCACAAACTAGGGTAAGGTAAGTGTCTTAGCATATTTTAATGCTGTTGCTTACTAAAGGTTTTAACCACGCACACACATGCGCACACACACGCTTTCTTATGCAATCTCTGTTGGCATCTGTGCTTTTCAGTTCGCCTTCTGTAGGAAGTAGAAGTCATATGTTGTCTTTATTGTAGTAAAATTATGCAGATAGAGTTCCATATATTGTATTTGTTTCAATAGTAAATCTTTTTAGAGCATATAGAATGCAGAGATTTTTTTTTCCATTAAAATAAATGGGTATTGGTGGTTAAAACTGCTGGACAATAGCTTTTCTCTGGTTTCTATGTTGTGTCGACTGTTGCTGATGCTGAGTCTTGTCTTTGTGCAAGTTCACATTTTTGCCTGGCCCTTTGGGCTCCCCCCATACACCTCCTGTTAGGTGAGTGAGTCTATAAAGCCAGAAGCGCCTGCTCACTGCCTGCGCCAGGCACTCGTCTTACCCACCATGATGAGCGATTTGAGCGTTTCACAGTCGGCTGTGAAGATGACGGCTTCCTTACAGAGAAGCCAAGATCATCCTCAGTTTGATGACTGCATGGCGCGTAGTCACAACCATCCTCCCGGGACATGGGTACTTTTTCTCTCCAACAATTCCTGTTGCTCAGTCAGGAGATGCCACGCCCTGAATGTGACATAATGGTCCTCCGCAAGCGCACGGAGCAGGCTCGGGGACAGGGGATCCAAGCCTGCACGTTTACACTCTTATGGCTTTATGGCACACATCGTCCTGTCTCCCTTGTCGACCTCGCTCCCCTCCTCCCACAAGGCAGGGCGAGAATGGTCACCCTGGAACAAACCGAGGACCATCCTCGATGGCTCGGGGCTCGGCAGCCTGACCCACAGGCTAACTAACTGATAATCCAAAAGCTCACTCACCTCTATGAACCTGGGCCATCCCTAGGGAGAAAAACAGATGTCAAGTGACCCATTCACTCAGGTAACCAGGTGAAGACCCCTCCTTTTCTCTCAAGCCAGTAGGCTCTCCTGTGCTTCACAAATGCATATTTTTTTCCTCTTGAAAAAGAGAAATCAAGCCAGTGGATTAATTTAGCTTAGAACACAGAAAAATAGGAGTAAAACACACACTTCATTAACAAGTAGAATATGTCTTAATTTCCCCCTATTTAAGTTTGCTCCCTGTCCCCAGAGTTCTTATCAGGGCAGAGATATTTCTACATGGTGTTCTTTTTAATCTTTCACACACACACACACACACACACACACGCACACACACACAGAGTGATTCTGAGAAGCCACAGTGGTAGCATTTTCTGAATTATAGGATGTTTTTAAGTTGCTAGAATGCATTTACCTTGTTACTGAAAGCAAAAGTATAATCAAAACATTCTGTCATCATTGTCAATGCATTTTATTTTAGTCCAAGGTCTTGAAAAAAGAAGAGGTCAAGTAAGAGCCAGAAATCGCTTTTCCCAAGGACTGAGTGCAAGACTGAGAATTTTATTTCCATTGACTGAACCGTCACACCTTCGCTTTTTATTAACACATCAACCGCCTTAGTTCGTTAAAAATCACATTTCCCCTTTCTGCATATGATAAAGTATTTCAGATAATTTGTTTTCACAAGAACATGCAAACATTTTCTACTTTTGATCAAAGTTACCTTAATGTTGCCAGTTCTCTCCAAATGAACATCATTGCAGGTGGAGGTCCCTGCCGCGACTTGCGGCCAACACCTGCAAATCTGAACATCATAACAAAACAACTTCAGCTAAACCTCACGTAGGTGGCAAATAAGACTTTGATTCTTAAAGAACATTTTTAGAAATTTTGATAACTTATCCTAGAATTTCAAAATGTCATTTTTAACCTTCTGTTAAATGAAATAACCATCTATATCAAAACCTTGAAATAGATAAGATTGCATTTTATCCAAAATAAATATATTGGGTCTTGATCTTAAGATGTGGCAACTAAAAAAATGATTAACAAGGCTATGCTTGATGCTGGGTTTAGTGCCATTGTACCAGTACACAAACGATCCAGGTGATTCTGAAGAAAAGAGCCTATAGCTCTCCTGGCGTGTAGGAACAAGGCACAGAAATGCAATTAATGATGATGATGATGATGATGATGATGACAGTTTACATTTATTAATTGTTTATTATGGTGCCCACACCGTGCAAAATCCTTTATACCTATTAACTCATTGAATCCTTATAACAGCCTTATGAAGAAAGTACTGCTTTCTTCTCCAACTTCCAGAAAAAGGAATCTGGGGCTCAGGCAAATCAAACGGCTTGCCCAAGGTAAGTGGCCCTGAGAACCGGAACCCGGGGCCCACGTCTTCCCCACTACAGCACAGTGCCGCTGCCAACTCTGCAGCCAAAACAGGCAAAATGCCTGCTTCAGACCAGGAAACTCTCCTCTGAACCCCCAATTAGCGTGACCACCTAAACAGAACTTCTACGTGTTCTTAATTCTAAGAACATTCTGTTAAGAGCTGTTAACACTGTTCTAAATTAACATTGGAACCTTAGAAATCTTTCCTGTACAAGATATTATAATTTTCTTAACTATTTTCTCCCCTCCCTCCTGTGGCTTGTGAGCAGGTACATGAGGGGCCTCTACCAGACTAATTAGACATCTCAGCTGGCCAAAAGAAAGTTCATGCCCTCCCAAGGACCAGTCACAGCCAAGCCAAGTGAGGGGAGGGAAAGCTGAGAGAGCACGTGGGGGAGAGGGATTCAAGAGCATGTACTGTGCTTGACTGTACACAAATTCTAAAGCATCTTTGAGCAGTTTCTGATTCTGTAAATGCAGCACATTAATCTATCCACGTGTAGTTGACTTAAGCATGAATCAACAGGTGAATCACACCAAGAGAACGGTGAGCACTGAGAAAGAACGAAGCACCTATCCTATTTAACTGCTATATAATAACAAGAACAAGAACAATAATCTAATAATACGGCTACACCTTTCACAAAGATGATGCATCCCATCTTCTTTTCTGGCTGTTGCGATTCGTCTCATAATCTGATGATAAGATGTTTCTATAATTGTTCATCTAAAGCAATTAACAATTCTTGTGCTATGTAAAATGTGTTACTCTTATCATATTTCCTATCGCTCATGGATTAGCCCACTACTGAAAAAATTCTATAGCATCGACTGTGTTTATATAAAAGCTATACAAAATACGTACAGGCAGGAAGAATGGCAGGAAAGAATTGTGTAAACAAGGATTTCAGGTAAGGTCTTTAATTCTCTAAATTAAGTCTATAATTTAAGCAGAAACAATTTAGATAGTCATCAAATGCAGTAAACAGAAAGCATCTTCCTGTCAGTCATGCTACGTCACTGTCATAGTGTTAACGGTTGGAGGGTGCTGAGCTTGATACGCCTTCGCGCCCTGTTACCCGGCTCCCGACTGCCCGCTGAGAAGCCGCGGGTGCAGTGAGACTGCAGTCGTTTTCACTCTGAAGCTCTGAGCCTTTGAGAAAGTAGCTCAGAGAAGCACTATTAGTATATTCTGAAATTTTCCATATTCTGCTACTTTTTTTAAAGATTTTTCTTTAGAAAGTAATAAAGTCATTTTTTATCCACTCAGATTATTAAAGAGTTGAAAATGAAGGCTATGTGAAAAAAATTAGGTGTTGTCATGCACATATCAACACTGTTATGGTATTAAATATTAACGCCAAGATAAAGTATTATTACCCCAAGATAAAATTATTCAGAAATTTTAAATAAATTTTTCCATAAACATGCAAAAGGGATAAAAGTTTGTCATTTAAAAATACTTAATTCATGCAGATGCAGTTTCTTTGAGCCCTAGTTGCTGAATTGCTTAAAGTTCCTGAGCTGTAAATTAACAATTGATTTATTCTGTAGTTGCAAAGAAATTTGTAACTTGTTTGTACAATATTCAAATAAAGGTTATGTCGGATCTTTAATGTGTGTACTTGGTCTTAGACCAGCTTTAGTACAGTTTAAATACAGTGACAGAGCAAAGGGATTTTCTTTTTCAAATGGTGCTCTAGTTGGCCTATAAAGTCTGAACACCAAGACTAAAACCAAGTGCCGCCTGCCTAATGATTATCTCTTTTCCTTTTTTTCTTTCCTAACAGTCAAATCACTCTGATTTACCAAAAAAGAGCAGACAGATGACAGATCAGATTATACAAATAGGTTGACGATTGATTGGTTGATAATAGCTAGATAGATTGATGATAGATAAGTAGATTGACTGATGATAGATTGATGATTAATAGATTGATAATAAATAGATTATAGATGATTGATTGATGATAATGATTGATAGGCAGATGATTGATTAATGATAGATGATAGGTAGGTAATTGATGATAGATTGGATAATAGATAAATTGATGATAGACTGATAGATGATAGGTAGATAGATAGATACATAGACAGATAGGACAGACAGTGAGATTACTTTAGTGAGATCCTTAACAAATGGAAGGGAAGGGTGCTAATACAGTCACACCTCAGTACATGTTGGCTTCAGAACCCATCAAACCCTGTTCTTGTTGCATTCTGATGCGAAAGTAACGTCTCAGTGATCGGTGCTAGCTCTGGACTCGTCGCACTTGCTAGATCTTGTATGAGTCACAATGACACCCGGCAAGAGAAAATGCTTCAGTACTCTTTGCTTGTTCGGCACTCACCAGTTTCGGCACTTGCCTCGCATTCTGGAACGAATTAATGACATGTACTAAGGTGCCACTGTATTTAATAAGTGCTTCCTATGGGCCAGATGTTTTACATATTTATATCATGGGTTTGAAGAGATTGGAAAAGTTTAAAATGTCCTCTAAGGGCTGGGAGTGAGCTCAGCCCAGGCCACTGGACGGATGAGGCGCCCTGTCCTGAAACTGCTGTTGCGCCCCAGCAGCAGGTGTGTGACTCTCAGCAGCAGCACTCAGCAACCTGGGAGAAAACCAGGGGAACCGCGGCTCCGAACCGAGTTGGGTGATAGCAGAGCTGATGAAGGTGCAACCAGGGAAAGGACGAATTAAAAGTTCTCTAAGGCCCTGCGAGGACCATCCCTTCTCTGTGTATGCAAGGCAGACACACACATCTCTAGACGCTGTTCGTTACCACCGTCCTTAGCGGAGATCTGGGAAAGGAGGGGTGTGGAGAGAACAGCCCAGCTTGAACCAAAGAACAATTATAAAAGTACCACACTTAGCTCATGTAAAACCAAACGATCCTGAAAGGGAAAAAGAGAATTACTTCAGTTACACCATTAGTCTAGGAAGAGCTATTTTAAAAAAAATTGCTAAGAGAAGATAAGACTGCTATGACACTTAAAGGTTTAAAATGAGGGTTGTTCAAAACCAAAGTTTTAAAGGTTAATTACTAGTGCCTTACACATGATACAGTAGTTTTGTTAATGGAACAATATTCAGTTAGGTTCACTGTGTCAACCCTACAAAGTATATCAGCCATGACTATAAATTAGTGAAGCTTTTGCATACAGCAGCTGTTTAAAAGAACTTGGTCTCCATGCAGAGAGAATGTACTGTCTTTCTAAGTGCCAAAAGAAAGGTGTCCACCAAAAAGTGTCATTTACCTGCTGTTTATGTAAAGAAAATTTCAATTTGGATAAAAAGCTTTCAAGTCTCCTGCCAGAAAAACACACACACACACACACACACACACACACACACACACACCCCTCCATCCTCTTAGTGCTAATTCATGTTCGATGCTGCTCACAGCCTTAAGCCAGATGTGGCTAGAATTCTGGATGTGGGTTGCCCGTCTTCTCTGCTAGGTATGGTAGCTCCAGTGTTTGGGGTCCAAAGTGAAAAGGCCTGAAATCCCACTCAGTATTGACTACTTACTAGCGAAATGATCCTGGAGCTTCAATCAATACTTTATAAAATACCAAGTATGGTACAAATTTAAAGTGGTATGACTTTAAATTGGGGGGTTGAATTGTATCCCACCCCCCCGAAAAAGACATGTTGAAGTCCAAGCCCCCAGAACTTCATGATGAGGACTTATTTGGAAACAGGGTTTTTGCAGATATACATAGTTTGGATAAGGCCCTACTGGAATAGGATGAGCCCCTACTCCCTAAGCAGAAGCGAGGACACACACGTCAAAGACCACGGGAAGATGAATGTGGAGATTGGAGTGATTCAAGCTAAGTAACATCTACAAGCTAAGGAGCATCAAGAATTGCCAGCAGCCACCCTGGCTGGGTGGCTCAGTTGTTGGAGTGTCGCCCCATACACTGAAAGATTATGGGTTCAATCCCCAGTCAGGGCATATACCTGGGTTGCAGGTTTGATCCCTGGTCGGGGTTCATATGGAAAGCAACCAATCAATGTTTCTCTCTCTCTCTCTCTCTCTCTCTCTCTCTCTCCCCCTCTCCCCCTTTCTCTAAAATCGATAAACATATCCCGGGTGAGAATTAAAAATTAAAAAAAAAAAAAAAAAGAATTGCCAGCAGCCACCAGAGGCTAGGAGAGAGACACAGAACAGATTCTCCTCAGAAACCTCAGAAGGAACCAACCCTGCTGACACCTTCTGGCATCCAGAACTGTGAGATAATAAATTTCTCTTGTCTTAAGTTGACCAATTTGTGGTGCTTTGTTACAGCAGCCCCAGGAAACTCATACAGCATCCTTCAATCTCAATATATACAGAGGAAAATCCTCAGGAAACGGCCCAAGGGAAAATAAATTCATACGTGAAGAACAAGTGAACACAATTCTAGGCAATGTCCCTAGATCCCTGTAAAAGCCAGTGGTTCCCCACTCAGGGTGATCCTCGCCCCACCCACCCCAGGAGACCCTTGGCAGTGTCTGGAGATATTTTTGGTTGTCACAGCTGAGTGGAAGTGGGGTGCTATTGGCATCAACTGGGTAGAAGTCAGAGAAGCTACTCAACATCCCACACTGTACAGGGCAAACCACATCCCCAACAACAAAGAATTAGCTGACCCAAAATGCCAGCGGTGCCACTGGTGAGCAACCCTGCTCTAAACTGAGACAACTCAGAGAATTCTAGAATGATAGAAAAGGGAGAAAGTCAAGTCAGAAAGTCCAGGGCTCAAGTCCTGTCTCTTACTTCCTAATTTGGCTGCCTGGTTTAAGAGGTCCAGTCCTCAAAATCATATAATGCCGATAATTATATCACAGGATTCTTCTGAGGATTAAGTTAAAACACTGAGAGATGTTTCTTTTAAGTGATCGTGTAAAGCACTAACCAAATGCCAGTTAACAACAACCCATTATAAAAAGTTTAGCCCCTCTGGGATAGGGAGGAAGATGGGGTGGGGGTGCAAGGAAGGCAACGGGGGAAGGGAGGGTGAAGTTGGAGGCAGGGGGTGAAGTTGGGAAAAGAGAGCTGAGTCTCATGCTCTCCATGGCCAATGTCCCAGGTTTGTTACAGACACCGGTGGGTTCCCTTACGGCCTCTCTGCAGCCAAAATCAAGCTGGAGTTGGCTCCCAAATACAGACCTTAAGTGAGATAAAGACTGTTTCTCCTACCCCTTGCCAATGAGACCCACTTCGGAGACCACCTGCAACGCTAGAACTTGAGATCCCAACTCAGTAGTGTCCCCTCCTTAAACCACCAAATCCAGTCTCTTAAACCGCACTCTGCTTACTCCTTGACAAACCAAACACCTTGCCCCACTCAACACCATGGAACATGTTGAATGAAAGAAGCCAGGTACTAAGGTGGCCTTACTGTGTGAATGCAAGGTGAGATACAGGGAAAACCAACCGATCGTGTTCAAAGTCAGTTCGGTGCATGGGTGGAGGTGAAAGGAAAGGGGCTGAGGGGCTTCCAGGGGACTGGTCATGTTTCTTGACTTGCGGGGAGGGGGAAAGGTGGGTGACAAGAGTGTGTGGGCTTTGTGAAAGGTAATTTAGGATCTCTGCACTACCCAGACCGTGCTTTATAGTTCAATTAAAAGCAAAAAACAACCTGCCCCACTGCACCAGCACATCCACTCATCCCTCGTGGGGAGAAGGAAAACCACTGAGGTCGACGGTGTAACCAGGCCCTCAGCTGCGCAGCTGGGCACCTGGGCCCTTGATGGTCTCAACCCTCAGGCCTCATGCCTAAGTTTCCCCTCCAAATGTTTGTGGGGTTTGCTGGAGAGCAGGCGGCAGCACAGGCCTGAGCTTGGCATATCGCAGGCACCTAGCAAGTGCGTTTCGATGGGATCAGAGACAACCAGCGCAGCCTTTAACGACAGCCTGGGAAAAGATGACGACAACCCCTTTAACCGCTAGGCCCAGTGCCTCGTTTCCCTTTTTTAACCCCCGGACTGAGTGCAGGGCGTGGCTAGGGGCGTGGCTAGGGCGGGCTAGGGGAGGCGAAGACGTACTGGGTGCCGCTGAGCAGGTAGGGCAGAGAGGAGGGGCGGGGCCTCGCCGGGGACGCATGCGCGAGACCGCAATCCTTGCCGGCGCGTGACGCCAACTACAGCTCCCACAACACCCCGCGGTCGCGCGTCTGTCATCTGTCGTCGCGAGAAGCCGCTGGGGGCGTCTTCGCTGACAAACGGAAGTGTTGGTGACGGTCTGATATATCACCGCCAAACTGGGAACCGGGGAGATGGCCGAGACTGACCCCAAGACCGTGCAGGATCTCACCTCGGTGGTAAGGGACGTCTGTGTGAGCCCGAGGCCTTGACATCCTGTGGTGGCGCAGGCAAGGCCCGCGGACCCGGGCGTCGTCTCCCCGGCCGCGGGGGGCCTGGTCTCTGGAGGCCGCGTTTCTAGAGGATTCTCCTGCTGAGGCCTCTGGCCACCTAGATCCCCGCCCTCCGGGCCGCTGGGCGTAGGCCGCTGCACCTGCTGACGTCCGCAGGCCCGTTTACCCTCCGCTCACCTGTTACTGAACCGCACCCCCGAGTGACCCCCTGGTCCCCGCCAGCTTCCAGCCCACACCCCTCGCTTTCCACGCAGCCTCCCGTCAGCACCTCCCTCACACCCGATGCCTACAAGCCCTCAAAAACTACCAAAAGACCCAAAGAATTTTGAATGGCAGCGGGGCCCAAACGGGGAGGGGCTTCACCAGCCCTGGAGCCTAATTTGACGGATAGGAAAACAAAACCTGAGACGGAAATTTCCTCGCTACAGGAGGCCAGGAGGCTGGGTTGAAGCTTAAACCCACGATTTAGTCTCCCTCTGGGACCAGGGCTCCTATCCTCATCCTATGGAGGGGTCTCAGGGCAAGCGTGGGTGTTTTGTTGTTTCATAGGTGCAGACACTCCTGCAACAGATGCAAGACAAATTTCAGACCATGTCCGACCAGATCATTGGAAGAAATATCCTTTGAATTTATGGTCAGCCTCAGATGGGTGTTTGGATCCTGTTTTTCTCGGTAGTGGTGTCGATGAATGGATGGGGTTCAGGTCAGCTTCAGTCGTTTACCAAATTTTTTAACTAAGCATGGATATACCGTATTTTGCTGTGTATAATGCACACTTTTATGCCCAAATTTTTTAGGGAAAATAAGGATGCACATTATTCATGGGTAGTACTAATTCCATAGCTGTATAAATGTTTTTAATTCTTTTATTTATGCTTGTGCATTAAAAGTGTAACTCTAGAAAGCAATGATGATACCCATATGCAAAATAGTTCTCTGGAATACAATAATTGGTTTTGTTGAACTTTTTAAATTGAATTAAAAAATTGAAACAAAAGGTTTTTTTCCTGAATGTTTGGGCCAAAAACGTGGGTGAGCATCATACACGGGAGCTCGGCATTATATACGGCAAAATACGGAGGTACTTTCCTTAGAAGCACTGTGTGAGGAGCTGGGGACACAGCCGAGCTAGGTGCCTGGCCTCAAGGTATTGGACAGTCTCTCATAACGATGCCTCGTATGATGGTTGACTGTGAGCTAAACATTTTATGTGTATCTTTCCTCTGAGCCTTGCCATACATAACCTGATGAGGTTATAGTGTTAACTTTTATTTAGCAGATGAAAGACAGAAGCCTGGAAAAGTAAAACTTGCCCAGATCCCATCACTAGTAAGGAACAGGGCTGGGATTTGTTCCTTCCCCAAGATCCCTGTACCCTTAACCACCAGAATGTAGCCGTGCCCTGCCTAACGACGGGGATACATTCTGAGAAACGTGTCAGGTGATTTTGTCCTCGTGCAAACATGTTAGAGGGTACTTACAGAAGCCTAGAAGGCGTGGCCTGCTGTACACCCAGGCTGTATGGTACACCGCTGTCATGTACTGGCCCGTTATTGATGGCAAGGTCATTAAGCAGCACATGACTATCCAAAGGAAACCGAAAAACCACTTTCATTAAGACAAGTGTGTTTAAGGCCGTAGTCCACAGGCCCTGGAGGAGAAGGCTAGAAGTGGGGGATGTTGGTGCGCTTCGTCTTTAACTTCATCACTTGATGATATGAGCAGTCGCATTGATGACCTGGAGAAGAACATCGCAGACCTCATGACGCAGGCTGGGGTGGAAGAACTGGAAGGCGAAAACAAGATACCTGCCACACAAAAGAGTTGAAGGTGAGGGAAGGGGCAGTACAAGTCTGGTGTGTGTCATAATTTTGATGGGGCCATTTTTCCAGTTTTTATTCATTGGATCTATATCCCCATTAGTTAACATTAAATAACCACTGAATTTATATCATTACAGCCAACAGCAGAAATGTGCTTTGTTGGCCTGCAAATTCTTATCACTGGTAGATTTTTATTTTTGTTTATTTTTTTCTTTAAAGATAACTCAAGCACCCATATTGTCACCTTCATCACTGCTTTAAATTCTAAGGATTCTTTGGGGAACAGTTCTTATACTCAATAAATGCCAGGGCAATAACTGGTAATGATTTAGATGAACTAGATTATGGCCACATTACGCCTTCACCCTAGAGTTGATCTAAATTTCTACTTTATAGTTTCAGGTACCAGAGGAAAGACTAATAATCAAAAATACCCAGGTAGCAAAAGAGCCATTTGTACAGATGGCTGCCTTATTCTCACTATAGTGGGTTTCTTCATTATAATCCATTTCATGAGGATTTTTAAACTCCTTATTTCTCCCATCTCATTTTTAGCATTGTAATTTTCCTATAAAAATAAAGTTCACTGAGAATTTTTAAGTAACTATAGTACCAAGCAGAATATATAGTAAGAGACACCTTTTTTTTTTTTTTTTAATTTTCTGGGTGTGTCCTTGCTGGGCCAAATTATAAGTTACTATGAAATACAAGTTGCTTTACAAAGTACAAGAAAATAAAGAGGTTTGAGAGATAAAAGACTTACATTTGCTGTTATCTTAACAATAGATTGGGTTGATTCTCTGAGTAAATCACATGATTGTTTTGTGTGGGTTGTCGTCTTTATTCCTATAGAGGGAGAATTTGAAAAATGTCCTACCAGTCTTAGAAGCTTCTCATATCTCAAAAATCCCATCAAGTGAATGAGAACATCCTCTTGAGAATTGAAGATTGAGTTACAGGGATGATACAAAGAAAGGCGTAGGAGGAGGAAAAGGATTCAGAAGTTTCTTTAATAAAAGATTTCCAATTAAATGTATTTCTGCCAGACTGTGGTGCAGAGAAAATAACTTTAGTTCAGTAGAGGGTTCTGAAAAGATTTTTAGTTGGTAATTTTAAGTATCATTTTTATTTGTCCTTATATGATGAATAACATGTTGATGGTTTTTTCCTTTTTCAATAGGTTGCTAATTTACACTGAAATCTGGAACATTGTTTTAACAAGCCAAGAGAAGACCAAATGGCTTTTTGCAACTAATTACTATACGTAGACAGGTTTTATATTGTAAGGTGTGCATTCTTCTAATCACATACTATATAGTTAGTTGGTAGAATGATTACCCTCCATCCCCGGTTTCTTGAACATGGTAACTACACATCTTGGATCTTGGTCAGTTGCGCTATTAAATATTAAACACTAAAACTTTGGTGGTTCCTACATAAAATTGTCAAATTTTTCAGTGTATTTTTGTGAAGTCATTTTCCTTCTATCATTTCTTTTGTAGTAGTTGCTGTTTGATAAAACTTGCTGTGTAATGTTTTTCTAGTAGACACATAGCATATTATTCTGTTGTAATTAGACTTTGTGAAGTAAGACATTTATTGAGTTTAGGGTTCTTTAATTCTGAACGGAGTGACTGTTGAACTAACACCAAATAGTATGTTGGTGGTACTTTTCAAATGGTTTTAAAAAATTTAAAAATTGTTTATTCAGAAATACCTGGCACTGCTCTATTGCCAAAACTCAGACTTGAACTTAGATTTTATGTCTAAGTCTTTGAAGTCAGATGCTAGAGTGATGAATAGTAACCACTGCCACTTTAGTGTGAGAATTTTTAAATATGGAAAATGACAGAATTGCCTGCTGCAATGAGGCATTCGTTCGCTAGAGTTTTGCATGAGATCTGAATCCTTTAGTAGGACCTTATATTGTTCATCTGCAATAGTTACCATACAAAATCTGGCAGGATTTTAAGACTCGGTTACTCCGTCTTTTCTTTGTGCTACTGATTGGAAGAAGAAACAGAAAAGGAAAAGAGACCATATTAGGTCCATATCAGTTACTTCACTAGAAAATAATAAATGACTTGTAGTAGGCTCAAGTTTTTAAGAAATACTGTTTCTTTAAACTATTTCTTACCTAACTTCTTGCAGAGTAATGGTTTTATGATTGATTATGGAAGACTGGGATAATAACTCCTGCCGCTCAGAAATGCGGTGTCAGGACTGCTAAGTTGAGAGGCCAGTGTTGGCTGGGAAGGGAATCCATGTGATTGGCACAGCAAAGTGATTTTGTATAGAAAAACATGAAAAAGTTGAGGAATGGTATAGTGCCTCCTAGAGAAAAACCCTTAATGAACACAGTATGATTTTTTTTAATGTTTCTATATCACCAGTCTTGATTGTTTGTACTGCAAATATATAATAACATTAAGAAATAATTTTTCCTATTTATAAGTTATATGGAGAACACAAAGGAGTAAACTCTTTCTGTGATAAAATGAATTAACCAGTATTACTACCCAGCTGCGAAAACTCCTCTGACGGGCCGGTAGGTTGTGCTGCAAGGCTTAGCCCTGAAAGCCCCAGAGCCTACTGGACCCGGCCACCCAGACGGAACGTGTGTGCGGGGCCTAGTCAAGCCTAGTAAACGGCGCTGGAAATGGTACGGCGGGAAGGTCAGCCAGGACGTAGGTAGGAGTTGGCTTCCTGAAGTAATGGAAGGATTCCTGAGGCAAGCTCCCCTGACCAAAAATATCTGCCATGAATAAAGGTGCCTAAAATCCTGCTATTGAAGCTTCCTTTGTGTCAAAAGTGATTTGTTTGGTTTTTCACATTTTCAGATTAAAATACACATACCATTTAGAGTATAGCTAAAACCTCTGGCAGGATAAGCAAAGGCAAAACGGGCAAGGCAGGCTCAGGCGGAGGCTGTGCTGTGGGAGGCCTCGGTGGCTGTCGGGTTTGCCCTGACGCATATCAAAGGAGGGCTGATGTTTTACTTGTTCCAGACGGAAACCTATGCCAAGTATGTTCCCCAGGACACTTGTCTTGGAGAAGTTCCGGAAAATAAGGGTTTATAGTCATCCGGGTTTAGAAAATTTGCCTTGTATTCACTTCATGAAAATTCACAGTACAAATTAGCATGTTGAAGGCTCTGAGGTCCCAGAGCAGAAAAATGTGGTTTCTTTTTCTCACCTGCCAGTTTCCAAGTTATTTGACCAAGGATCTTTTTTTATACTTAGCACCTAATTAACATTTCATTGAACTAGTGTTACAGCACACAGAGAGAGAGCCATTAAAGTGATGCAAGGAAGAACATTGCATTCCATTTATAAAGGAACGCCTGCGCTGCCACACACTTGACCCACTCTCCAGGCAAAGCTTCCGCCTCGTGTGGAACAGGCTTTGTGGCCCCGGTGAGGCCTCCCATCTGCACAGATGGACGGTTTGCCTCCACTCTTGCAACAGTACCTGTCGGCAGTGAGAAATGCCTGCTAAGCCACAATTACCCCGCCCTGCCACCACCTCTTGCCAGTCAGCCTTTCCCGAACAACCTTGGTCTTCCAAAGAAACAAATACCCCCCACCCCAGGGTTGCATACGTCCTCCCTGTCCTGTAGCCTCTGCTCCCTGGCTTGTGGCATGGCCAGTGTGTGTGTGCGCATCAGCACCCCTTTTGAGTCCCAGTTATGATCTTTTTGTGCAGGAAAATGTCTGCCTCTCTTATTCCCCAACTAGTTTTTGTTCATTTAAAGGCCAAGAAGATCCTACTTAGGGCTAATGAATCCAAGCAGTATGGAGGTGCTCGCTCCAAGCAAGGCAGCCTTTCGGCTGATCGAAGGCCCGCGTCTCCCAGGCTTGGAGGCCTTACCGGCTTCCTCATTCAGCTTCTGGTTAATCCTGTTTTGCTCCAAGCCACAGGATGCTAACCATTTTAATCTTGCTGATCAATTTTGTTTCTCTACTGTTTTGTTTCTAGTAAAGTACTATCATGTTTGACCTTATCAGAACAAACATACAGTATTTCAGGAAATTAAAGATTAATTTGCCTTTGTGAGTCCTTGGAATCCTAACAGCACTTAGAGCAGTGTTGCTATGGAGACAGAGTCTTCCAAACAGTCAACTCAAAATGAACATTTTTAACATCCTATTTGTAAATTGAAGGTTTCCTGTATGGATAATTATGTTCCTCTTTTTTTTTCCATATTCTGTGTAGTTGATATGTTTTGGATTAAAATGGAGGCATTTGCACAATATGTTGTCAAACCTAACCCTGAGTTTCCTAGCAACAGGCAACAATTGTTCGTAGCACCACAGAAAGCATGTATTATGGACACTGTACTTACGGCTGCCGCTCCAAGCATTCTGTTTGCCTTACCTGGCCCAGTCTGACAACCCCGAGTTAGGTTTGTATCTGATCAGTCCCCATTTAAACAGAAGGAACCCAGGGTTGGGTTTCAGTCGACCAGCCCCGCAGAGCTAGCAGCAGTAACTGACGGCAGAGCTTGCCCTGGGCTGTGGCGTCCACCTCTCCAGGAGAGCTGAGCTTTCCAAAAGCTTATCTCAGGGCTACGGAAGTCTTAAAACAGTATCCATGCAGCCATCACCTGGAATCCTTGTTTTCCGTTAATGACATTAAGCATCTGTTTTAGCTTCAGCCTCTTTCAAACTCCTTTTCAATGACTCATAATGGTGGTGAGGGGCATGAGTCACGGCCCAAAATCGACAACCAAAGGGACTGGGATTGCTCATTACGCTCCTCGACCCCACAAACCACTTTGGAAATAGGAAAGGAGTTTGGTCTACAAGCTAGCTTGACTAGTGTAAAAGAATCGGTTCCAACACTTCGCCCTCACATGATGAGGCTCTCACAAGAGAGGTGCCTGGAGGTGCCTCAGACACCTGCCAGGGTTAGATTTATATCTGATAGATAGGGAACATCTGCTTCCATGCCACCGTTGGTGAAATGTCATGTTTTGTCGCTCGCTCCTTGAGCAAGGCCAAAGAATGTTTATATACCACATAAGGAAATTATATGCACGTCACATGGCTGCCACCCTGCTTCGTGGCCATAATCTTGGCAGTGTATTAATGATTTTCTACTTTGTGGACACATTTTCTCCAATTATTTCTGTTGGTCAATGGCAAAATGTCTAACCTTCCAAAGAGGAACAGAATGAATTCCCAATGCTTAAGAATAGCCTAGATTCAGGGTCAGGCTCTTTGGAAGCGTTTAACACAGCCCTGTAAGCAAAAGGGGGCTGCATTGTTTCTTGAGGCAGAGGCCAGGAGGGAAGGCAGCCCCAGGCAGAGGGGGCGGCACACCTCCGCAGACCTCAAGGGCCCAGGCTTGGACCATCCTGATGCATCCCGCAGAAAGAACGCCGTTCTCCTTCCCTTTGTCTCAAAGCAGGAAGAAAATGTTTCCCCAAAGGTATCCCCACCCAGCTGACTGCACCACAAACAGTCCTTGGCAGGGCACAGGCCTCGCGTGACTGGCTGCGCCAGTGATTCTCACCTTTTGATTGTCACAACTTGGGGACTGGCAGTGCTTCTGGCATCTGGTGGGGAGACCAAGGACGCTGCTAAACATCCTGCATTTCACAGGATGGTCCCCACCACAAAGAATTCCCCTGCCCCAAGTGTCAGCAGTGCCCAGGTGGAGAAACCCCAGCTTCACCCATTCATGGTTTAACCTGTGCCCAGGGCGAGGCCTCCTCTAATAGCTCCTGGACCCTCACGGGAGGGAAGGTAGAGACCAAAACTGGGATTCTATCAGAAAGCAAAGCGTTGGCTGTTGGGTGGACAACACACAGTGTCTGTCACAGACCTCTTAGATACAGCTTCTGGATTATGAATTGTAACAGTAGAGGTGGTTAAATAAGGTCTTGGCTGGTTCTCACCCTTCACTGCATGTTAGAGGCACCTAGGGAGCATTTCAGAACCTCAGGACCAGGCAGCGTCCAGAGGCACTGCAGCAGGAATCCCCGCAGGTGGGCGCAGACAGGGTTGTTTTGAGCTTGCACATTGCGTCCAGGTTGGGAGCTGCATTCCCAAAGGACTGTCTGTGGCTGCTCTTCGGTGACGCAGTCCACCAAGCAAATTAGATGGGGCTCTGCCAAGCTTCTGTGTCAATGCAGCTGATGCTCCCAACTTACACAGTCAAAACGGGCGCCTCATCTGGCACTCGGTTTGATTCGCGTGTCATTTTTGCTTTAACGACTGGATGTGCCACCACTGTTGGAACAAAGGGATGTCATTCCCCGACAAGTGATGCCTTGTTAACCAGATTCAACGTCAGGTGGACCTCAGGTCTCTGACTGCCCGCCCTGCCACGCCTGCCACGGGCGCGGTGCAGGTGTTCAGCTCCCGTGCTGCTCAGAGCCCGTGAAGGCTGCCGACGTCAGCAAGTTTCCCTGCTGGAGTTTTTCTCTCTCCATTCA